AAAATACACCTTACTTTAGATACTACCTAGATAATTAATTATAATAATTAATAAACTATTAGGTTAGTAGTAGGCAATAATAAAAGGATTACTACTAAGCTGCGCTATGTAGATATTTAAAACATGTGGCTTAGGTAAGAGCATGCAAAGGGATCTTTCTACATTACCTACCTACCTACTAGTAATATACTAGCTAATAGGCTTACTAAAAACCTAACTATATAATAATTTATAAGGTTTAGGGAGCACCTAAAGTTATATAATAGTAGAGCATATATTATATAGTATTAATTAAAGTAAGGTAGTATATAAGATCTATTAATATAATATAAAAATAACTAACTATAGCCTACCTCTCTATTATTAACTAGGTAGCTTCCCTAAGGAGCTCTATTACGCGCGTAAAGCGTGCCTTAGAGTCTATAGGGGGCTACCTAGGTTACCCTATCCTAGGATCTACAGGGGGAACCTTAGAGGAGCTAGAGTCCTTATCTTCTAATAAGGAGCTCTAGGCGCCCTTAGCTGTAGAAGTAGCCTTGCGCGCAAGCTTAGTAGCAGTAGCAGTAGCTTTTACTAGCTCCTACTATTTAGCCTTACTCTCCTTAAGGAGCACTAAGACCCTTCGCTTCTTATCCTTAAGAAGGTCTTAGCTCTTACCTACCTGCTTCCTTACTAGGAAGGATAGCGTAGAGCGTTAGGTAAGCTTAGGGCTATTAGTTTATTAGTATAAGATCTTACTAAAAGTATTATAAAGGAAAAATTCTTATATAGATTATATATATTAGGATATAGCTATACCTAGAGGAGCACTACTAGTACTAAGTCCCCCTACTAGAAGAGTTATAGCACTTGCTATTAGACTTATTAAAGAGCGCTAAGCGTAGATAATTTAGATAAGTTTTAGCATAATAAATACTAGGCTCTCTATAGTAGGAGGATCTTAGGGTCTCCTTAGGAGCTAGAGAGGGAGTAGGCGTAGGAGCAGGGGCCTTAGGCGGGGTCTAGAGGGGAGTAGGAGCTAGAGTTAGAGCTAGAGTAGTAGGAGCTAGAGTAGGAGCGCCTTACCTTAGCTTTATAATCTTAGCTATAGTAGTAGTAGCTATACACTTAGCTACTACACACTCTATAATAGCCTTACACTTAGTAGTAGCGCGCTCTTCTTTAGTAGCGGTAGCTTTAGTAACTATAGCTTTAGCTACGCAGGAGGTAATAAGGGTAGTATAGGTAGAGTAAGCGTAAGTAGTAGGTTTTAACTTTAACTAAGATAGGTTAGTAGGGATATAGGTATAGTTTAGATCTTTAGGGTTAGATAATCTTATAACTTAAGCTATAGTAAAGATTATAGTTAGGTAGATAGAGTTATAGAGCTCTATCTAGATAATATCTACGCGCGTAAGCGCAGGCTAAATAAGGAAGGCGCGCTAGTTAGTATCTAAAGGGTAAGCTAATTTAACCCTTTAGATATATAATACTCTAATTAGCTACACTACCTACTAACTATAAGCGTAACTATAATAATAAAAGATCTACCTACACCTAGGGGGTGTGTTATAGGAGGGATATTAACTAGATTATAGAGTATCTTAATCCTAATTAATCCTAATTAATCCTAATTAATACCCCTATATAACCCACTATCTAATTAACTGCTAGCTTACTGCTAAGTGCCTAATAAAAAGTAGGAGCTCTAGTAAGGAAGGTTTACTAATTATTTACCTTCTAGTAAGGGTAGCTAAAGCTCTATATATATAAGTACGATCGTAGTAGATACAATCTAATAATCTATCTCCTAAATTATTCCTAACCTTAGTGATCCAAATTTCCACACCTTCCTAAATAGTGCTAGCACTTATATTTGTTTTTAGTGGATTCTTGTTACGTTAGTAACTTTAGCCTAGCCCTATTTTTCCTACTAATAGCGCACACTACTCTGTAGCCTTTGTGGTAGCTTTTCTATTAGTAGTAATATTCTAGGTATTCTAGCACTTCTAGTATTACTAATGCTTCTTATAGTTCTAATTATTCTAATAGTTCTAGTTTTAGTTATTCTAGTTTTAGTTATTCTAGTTTTAGTTATTCTAGTTCTAGTTATTCTAGTTGTTCTAGTTCTAGTTGTTCTAGTTATTCTAGTTCTAGTTATTCTAGTTGTTCTAGTTCTAGTTATTCTAGTTCTAGTTATTCTAGTTCTAGTTGTTCTAGTTATTCTAGTGTTCTAGTGTTTTCTAGTTAGCCTCTTAGTATTATTACTCTGTTCCTACTAACGCGCGTTAGCCACGTCCTAATATAGGCCTACTATTTTTGTCTTAACAATGTTAATTATTAACACTACCTATTTTTTTTAATTTTTCTCTGCCTTCCTTATACTTAGAGAAACGTCCTCTTAGTTATATGCTACTAGGCCCTCCCCTTTACTAAGATAAGATAAGTTCCCCTTAGGCTTCGCTATTTATACTGTTAGGGAGAGTAACCTATTTAAACTAGGAGAAGTAGGAGGGGCAAGGTTTAATAGTAGTAATCCTATAGTAGAGGATAGGGGTTTAATATAGCAACATAAGTGAAATAATAATATTATAGAGTTAAAGTTAAGTCTGCTAGAGCTGTTGTTATCCTATCCTCTAATCCTTCATGCCTTTATACCATTCAATCCGCCTAACCTTTTAGGCTAAGCCTTGTTTTCCTCCCATACATCCCTCACCACGGCACACTACCTTCTTAATAGTTATACTTACTAAAAAGATAAAGCTAGTTAATATACTAATTATAGGGAAGTAGCTTTATAAAGCTACTATTATATTCTTTATTATTTAAGTTACTAGAAATAATAAAGCTACTAAGTAACTATATTTAGGGAGACGTGTACTAAGCAAAAGTTAGTGTAGGAAATATAGGGAGAATATTAGAAGTACGCACCTTATCTTAGTAGGCCTAGCGCAGGGTCTAACTACCTTATAGTAGATTACTACTACTAGTACTAGTAGTAGTAGATAAGGATATAATAGGGGCTAGATAGGCAGGATTAATAAAGAAAGAGTAGAGGGAGGGCTAATTAGTAGGGAAAATCTATTATATAATAAAGTAAGTTTAGGAAATTTATAGTAGGGTAGGATAGCTATATTAGAACTTTTATAGTAGGGTACTAAAATAAGTATATAGACGCTACGCGCGCGTACTACTTAATATATAGGCCTGTTATAAATTAGGAAGGAATACAAAGATATAATAATAAAACCTAAGAATATATAGAAATAAAGCCTAAAATAGATTATAGGGACAAAGATATAACCCTAGACCCCTAGAAAGATAACTTTATAATAGTTTATAGGGGAAGGTTAGGGGTATATAAAGGGCTTAGGCTTATACCTAAGCCTAGGTTTAACACAAGATAGACTAAGTCTAATACTACTACTAAGCGAACATATTACACACCTATAAAAAGGCGTAGAGGGCTTACCTCTCCTTTAAGATACTAAATACTATTATTAACGCTTATTGCATTCTCCCTTAAGGCTAATCTATAACAATTACGTATTTCCTTATTTTATTAATATAGTATAGCTATTATAGTAGAGTCTTAAGCCTATTATTCTATTAATCTATAGACCTACTATATTAGCCTTTCTACTATATTAGGTTGCACCTAATTATTCTAAATATCTAGCGTGTCTATCTCTTATTACTATTATAGTATATTTAGAAGAAGATACTAAAATATTATAGACTAGCCTTAAGGGAGAATATAATAAGTGTTAATAATAGTATTTAGTATCTTAAAGGAGAGGTAAGCCCTCTGCGCCTTTTTATAGGTGTGTAGTGTGTTCGCTTAGTAGTGGTGTTAGACTTGGTCTATCTTGTGTTAGACCTAGGCTTGGGCATAAGCCCAAGCCCTTCACAGTTAGCCTCTTAGTGTTATTACTCTATTCCTACTAACGCGCGTAAGCCACGTCCTAATATAGGCCTACTATTTTACCTTAATAATACTAATTATTAATACTACCTATTTTCTAACTTTTCTCTACCCCCCTTATACTAGGAGAAATATCCTCTTAGTTACTTATTACTAGGCCCTCCCCTTTACTAAGATAAGATAAGTTCCCCTTAGGTTTTGCTATTTAAACTAATAGGGAGAGTAACCTATTTATATAAGAAGAAGTAGGAGGGGTAAGGTTTAATAGTAGTAATCCTATTATAGAGGGTATAAATTTAATACAGGTTTATAAGAGAAAAGTTAATATTGTAGAGTTAAAGTGAAGTCTCTAGGAGTAATAATAATCTATCCTCTAATCATTCATGCCTTTATACTATTCAACCCGCCTAACTTTTAGGCTAAACCTTGTTTTCTCCTATATACCCTGTGCCACGGAACAATATAAGTCTAATCGTAGTAGATATAATCTAAATAATCTATCTCCTAAATCATTCCTAACCTTAGTAATCTAGATTTCCACATCTATTCATATAAGTCCGATCGTAGTAGATACAATCTAATGATCCATCTCCTAAATCATTCATGACCTTAGTGATCCAAATTTACACACTCTGTCTATCTTGTGTTAGACATAGGCTTGGGCGTAAGCCTAAGCCCTTCACACACACACAAGTAGGGAGCCTATGTAGGTTACGTTGATACACATCAATGTAGACAAGTACATGTTGTCTGTTCAACTTGACATAAATTATAAGGCTCTAATGTGTACATAATGATGGTAGCTGTAAAGTGGCCAACAGCCAATCATGCTGTTTCTTACCACCGTTAATGAGACATGCGTGATATCAGCTTACCCCGCTTGCAACATGATGGCCTTTTGTCGATACAAATGCGGCACTGTTCATTGGTAGTTGGGCGAAGAAGCCTAGATCTGTGGTCCTCGGTGCAGCAATAGCATCGCCATGTTTTGGAGAGGAAGATTGCTGGTTCGTAGTAGTGGATATCATGCAGTACCGGTAGGTAGGCCTCACGCGAGATCCCTGCACTCTCGACGCGCCGACATGCCAGTCCCGCCATGACAACGGACAGCAGCAGCATGAGCAGCAATAAACACCAGGCACCGTGCTCAGTACTTTTGACGACTCATGCTTTTGACCAGCGCATATTCGAGCCTTTGACCTGCCATTCGGCCACTGACGACGACCCAGTTCGAGGCCACCGACCAAGTTTGTCCGTTCTCTGCCCGCCTTTCGTCATTCGTTGTTGCCCGCGCAATCTGTGTTTACGAAACAAGAAATCCCACGCCTTTCACTCTGCGCACTCGAGCCACTACAAACAGGTCTGCAATAGCACCTCGCCACACTCGAAGTAAACAAAGTAATCCCATCTCTTGAGAGGCCTCGCGTTTGCGTAGCGGCTTTTACCAGAGGATTCTTCTGCCCGCCTTCCTTTGACATTTAGCACCACTACCACGACTGACCCCCGCTCAACTAGTAGTCACCACATCACGACATCGGCAGTGACTCTCTGGCAAGGACACAACTCAACCCACCTATTCTCCTCGCTTGTCCGTCTTCAATCCGCCAGCCCATATTTCCACGTGGCCACGGTGACGCTCGCGCCCGATCGCATCCTTCGCTTTCCACGTGGGGTACCGGTACTGCGTACCGTCGACACAGCACAGTCTCGCCTCTCCCAGTTTTGTAAACGCCTCTTCAACCCAGGCACCCGGTTGAGTCATCTACTACCGTCCACCCCACTAGTTGCACGCACCGCAATCCGACCCTTGCTCCTAGGCAGCCCTTGTACACACCGCTCAGCTCTTTTGACAAGCTGGACGACACCACTGCGATAAGATGGCGACAGAACTGGGCGCCAATGAGTCTGTCGACCCAAACACACTCTACACAAAACAAGAATGCATAGGTGGAGGCAGCTTTGGCAAGGTTTACAAAGGCATCGACCGGCGAACGGGGAATACAGTAGCCATCAAGGTCATTGACGTCGAGAATGCGGAAGACGAGGTGGACGATATCATGGGCGAGATTATGATCCTTTCCAGTATGACATCGCCATACGTAACCAAATATTTTGGCTCGTATCTGGCAGGCTCAGATTTGTGGATTGTCATGGAATTTTGCTCAGGCGGCAGCTGCGCAGACTTGATGAAGCCCGGCGCTATAGCCGAGGCTGAAATCGCAGTTATATTGAAGGAGCTTTTGATGGGCTTGTCATATTTGCACGATGACCACAAGCTGCATCGAGATATAAAGGGTCAGTTGTCCGACACTCTAGCGCTTCTACGTAGAGACTGACATGATATAGCTGCCAACATACTCGTGGGGGCAAGTGGACAAGTGAAACTGGCCGATTTTGGTGTGTCGGGCCAGCTCTCAGCAACCATGACGAAGAAAAACACTTTCGTTGGTACTCCCTTTTGGATGGCCCCTGAGGTGATCAAGCAGTCAGGCTATGACGGCAAGGCCGATATATGGTCGCTTGGTATTACTGCTCTAGAGCTGGCTAACGGAGAGCCTCCTTACGCGGACATACACCCCATGAAGGTGCTGTTTCTTATTCCAAAGAATCCACCGCCACAACTCACCGGCAACTTCTCGCCTGCTTTCAAGGAGTTTGTAGACCTTTGCTTGCGCAAGGATCCCCGCGAGCGACCAAATGCAAAGCAGCTTCTACAGACGAACTTTATCCGCAAGGCTGGCAGACCTGCCCGTCTACAGGAGCTCATCACAAGGTATCAAGACTGGAAGGTTCGGTATCCCAAACAGGCTGTTGAATCAGAGGATGAGGTAACACCCATCAAAAGAAAAGAGCCTGTCAATGAAGATCTGTGGGACTTTGGCACTGTACGACCAATGGGAGGAGTCAGGGGACCAGCATTGGCACCTATGAATGATGCTGGCGCGAACGCTCGCAATGTTTCACCACAACGAAAGCCCCTCGTTTCTAGTCAAAACGGTGGTTATGCCAACGAAAATGCGGATACCATCAAGAGTCCACCAGCCTCGCCGACGAAACGTCTGCTTCCATTGCAAACCCTAGAGTCTGGAATGGCGTCCGTAAACACTGCTGCGAGGATTCCACTTCCACCATCGCCAGAAAAGAGAGGGGCGCCTTGTTTTCAACAACCTGTTCAAGAATCTCCACGAAAGTCACCAGTACCTGGATTGTTCTCTCCACCTCAACACCGAGGATTGGTTACACCGACCAGAGCAGCACCTCAAGGCCCACGACGACAGACCCCGCTCTCTCATGCTTACGAAGAATTCTTGCAGCAAGAAATAGCCGCAGACATGAAGCGAATGGAGATAACACCACAACAGCCTCGCAATCCTACACCAAACCGTGCGTCGGTTCTTCCACAAATGTCCATACCTGAAATCCCACCATTCCGAGGGTCATCAACAAGCCCAGCAACCAATGAATCCTCCGTAGAACCTGTCAAGTCATCCCCGAGCCCAATACGACTACATCATCAAGTGCCACTATCTTCGCTCACCCATAAGCCACTACCACCACTGGCGGGTCAGCAAGCGCTTCCATCTCTGATGGGACAAAAGCCTCTCCTCTCACCCCAGCAGGCCTTCATGCCAATGAACTCGTCGTCGTCAATATCTTCGCGACCTGACTCGATAACATCCAATGATCCCTTTGGTGGACCTCTTTCTTCAAATTGGATATCGCAACCCATCCAGCAAAGCACTGCTCAGCCTGTAGCTCCCCCACCCCCACTACATACATCTCCCAAGCCCATACCTATGTCACGCGGCTCATTTGGTCGTCCTAAGCCAACGAGCAACCATCCAAGTCTCCTCCAGACCTTGGGATCTCCCTCATCTGCTCCCTTGGAGATAACAGCTCTTACGGGCGTCGTAGTGCCTGCACTTGAAGCGGCGCTATCTCGTCGTACATATCATCTTAATCTGAAGAACAAGACGGATTCGATGCATTCACTCGATGATGCACAAGGCTTCGTAGACCGTAGGCGGCACAGGCAGGATTGTCATGAACGGGTGAAAACTTTGGTCAACGAGATTCGAGACAAATTCGAAGAGCTTGATCGATGGGATGAGCAAGGGGAAGTGGGTATGGGTGGGGAAGTTGCGGGCTTCTTGGAAGGGTTTCTGGAAGAGGTATTGGTTAGGGTCGAGCCGGCCGACGATTAGGCATCCCAATCTGAGGAGCTGGCTGGCGATGAGGGATATGGACTTCGCAAGTCTGTTGAGGACGAACGAAGAGCCTGGTGCTCTTGAGCTCGCCGAGACAATTTGCTAGCCAAAGAACGCCTCTGCAAATTTAAGGGCCCAAGGATCAAGTTTACTGTGACAGGGTCGCAGCACAGCTCCCATATATGGAGAGAGCGATTCCTGGTGATTGGCAAAACCTGTATGCTCCATCGCTCATGGAAGGTAAGGGATTTTTTTTGAAAGCATATTTAGCCAGGAGTTTCAGGAGTGGTTGAACTGGCTATGCACTACTCCATGGCCAGATTATTTTGTTCATTTACTCATTTTATTCTTGTATAAGATTTCCATGACTTGAAAAGACTTGAAGTAGTGTCTAATAGAAATGTTACCCTAACATAACGTGTTGGGCTGCGGAAGGATAGCCAATCAGCGTGAGCCGACCTCCGACATCAACTTTAGTGGGTCCGTCATCGTCACCCCCAGAAATTACAACTTGAACCTATTGCTACGCGCGTCTGGGAAGACACCGCGCTTCGACAGGTTCCACTCGCTCTACGAGCGTGTACAAGCCATGGTGTATGTCCGATGACTAGAGCTTCATAATCTCACCCTAATTCGATATCTAGGCGTACTATTCGTAGCAATGCGCTTGAGAAGCTGGCGCGGCTCTCAGCACAGTCAACAAATACTACGACTACGATTTCCGATTTCCAGAGACTCTTCAAGAGATGCCCGCATTCTTCTGGAACTGCTAGCGGAGTCGAACATGGCACTGTTAACACGTGGACACCCATGGTATGTTCCCATAGCACATTAGGCAGGCTTGTCAATGTATCAAACGAACACATGTTTACCCAAGTGACAGAAACTTCAAGAACTAGAGACAATTCTGGCTCTCTGCAAGTCTGCACCTTATGTCCAGTCTCCGGAAGTCGCAGAGAAGCTGCTCACCCGCTTATCGCCCTACCTTTCCGAGTCGTACACGCAGATCCTCTCGCCTTCCCCTAACCTCCGCGCCTTCGAACCCTCGCCATACGAGAAGCTTACGTATAACCTCACATCTGCAATACTGGCGATTGGCATCAAACATGGTCAGCTACGGGCGCAGGCAACATCTTCACTTGATGCCTACCTCAGCGGTTGGGCAACTGCCTCAGATGCGCTCTCAGCAGACCGTTTCGAACCTGAAGAGCGAGGAGAATTCTCGGCAGATGGCGAACTTGCTCGCGCCATGACGCACAGTCTGTCTCTGCTCGGATTCCTCGGTGCAACGGCAGAACACGCCGAGTTTTGGAACGCCTACGACAGACTGCACTTTGTACAACAAGTGCGGAGAGTGCTGACGGAGAAATTTTTGATTGCATTCGAGACGGCCTTGTCGATTGTACGTAACGCGCGTTCACATCAGCACGGCCTAAGGGAATGGAGACGATTTGTTAAACATTACGCGGCGTCTGGGCGGCCCTTGGGTGCGATGATATTGCACGACTCGTTCCTGAAGGTTGTGGTGGCTTCTGCATCACTGCTTGTGCAGACGCACCCAGAGAATAAGGTCGGAGGTTCGGTTCTAGATTACCTGAAGTCTTCGTTCAGGGAGACGAATAACCATGTCATTCCTGATCCATCAGACGACCGGCTTGCGGAAGGTCTAGCGAGGATTGCCGTGGAAGAGATGGAAAGACTTGACAATGACCTTGACTACCTGCAGAGAGTTGGGTCAGCGTGGCAGCAACAGCAGGCATCTTCGGTCAAAGCGAAAGTGTTAATTACATACCTATGTTGTGCAGTGTACGACGACAACATTGCGGATGCAGATCTTTTGACGACGTGGTTGGATGGTGTACTCAATGACCCAACACAGAGTGCTGATCATGAGTTGGCATCGACGGTCCTGAAGTCAATGGCTATTCTCGCAAAGGTCTCACCTCAAGTGGCATCCAACCTTGGTCGCTCTCTACCACGAGTCATCGTACAGGGTAACTTCGATCATCGGACTACCTCTGTCGCGGCCGAATCGCTCGCTGCAGTGCTCAGTCTTCTGCCCCAGGACGCTATCATCACAACTCTATACAGTTTGGGCAACATCATCAGCGTTGCACCTGTGTCTGAGCGAAATGTCGCCTCCTCACCACCGCTGAATGGAAGCAATCGTGGTCCACGTGCTGGTGGAGTTTACAATCAACAAAACGGCAGTGCCATCTCATTGACGCCAAGCGATATTGAAGAGCCGCACCACGTACATACAACCGTTATCGAGACGATAGTGTCGGTGGCGAAAAATTGCAAAGATGCGAAGATTACAGCACTTGCTTTGTCCATGCTCGTGCAAAAGGTGGGACGAGCAAGCAAGACCGTGGACGCGAAGATCATCACGGACGCCGCGTTCCTGGGCGCTCACAGTCCACCGGGGGAGTTTAAGTCGCTCCTGAAAATGTATTCGAAAGCATGCCATGATGCTTTGGTCAACGAGGACACCGCAACACTGGAAGCCGTATGTTATCTTGATGACGATGAATAGTTGATGACATTAATGTAATTGCAGGTCATGTCCGCACGACTGAACATGTCAAGGGAGATATCTGCGAAGGACGAGACTTTTGAGATATATCTCAGACATCTACTAGACACTATTGTCAGTAAAGGAGATGCACAGGAGATATCACATCACCGCCTTCGCGACACGGAGCTCGCAGCGCAAGAAATCGCTCAGCTGCTGAAGCCACTTGCAGCTCTACTTGAGCACAATGCTGCCGAAACCCAGGAGATCGATGACTCAATCATCAATCTGCAGCGCGACGCTTGGTTCAACATTGTTGTCCATGGCTTCGACGTCTTGTCCGACCTAGGCAAGCAGTACCGCGAAGAGCTGAGGACACTGGCTAGGTTCAGCAAGCCTCTCATTGCTGAAGAACGGCCATTTCTGTCGGAAAGCGATATCGAGCTAAACACAGTTCTCCGTCGTGGCAAGTCAGCTGAGCATACGGTCGAACAGAAAAAGCGTCTAGGCAAGCTCTTACCTTCATGCGAGGCTGATACCAAGTCTTTGAGTTACCAAGAGGCGGTCTTTTTGAGCACTGCATATCTGGTCGAGGATCTGCGTGCTAGTACCGGTGACTGTACAAAGGCTCTCGCTTACTTCCTCGATCCTAAGTTGCGAGTTGGTGCTGTTGGGAACTGTATGGCCGCAATCACGACGACTGCTGTGAGGACGTATCTGGTCAAGACATTATCTGGCCAGTCCCATGTCTTTTCAACGCCATACTTGGCAGAGCAACTCGCTACGATCTTCTCAGCATGCTGCCACCGTATTGCGCGTGTTCAAGAGGCTGCAGCTACATGCGCGGATCTGATTATTCGTGAGGTGCCTTCTACTCTGTGTCAGAAAAGTGCACTATTTGCGCTGTTGGAGTTGCTCTCTGTGATGTGGTATAGCTGTCTTGAGGGCGAGACCGAGGATTACACGTGGAAGTCGACCTTTACTTCCAAGAGATCGAACATCACAGTGGAATTGTCAGACGACTACGCATTCCGACGCGCAACTCTGGACAACTTGCATAAGCGCGCGATAGTATGGGTAAAGGGGGTTCTTGACATAGCGCCTCTCGACGTCAAGGGGCTTTTGCAATCATATCTGTCCGAGTTTGACGATGAGATGAGTTTCGGCCATATTTCACTTGGTCGTTCCTTCGCACTAGAAATGGGCTCTGTGGTTCCGTCTACTGATCAACGACTTGGCGCCATTGAACGCCAGGGTATGAATATCAATACTGCGTCTGACTTCATCACGCAGTATACAACGAGGCAGGAGTATAAATTTTTAGACGGTGTCGTCGACCATGAGGAAGAGTGGCTTCAGGGGGCTCCGTCGTCTGGACCGAGGCCAACATACCTAAGTCGCAGCTTGCAAGACGCAACCAATCTCCTCATCGACCTTGAGACTCGTACACTAGGTCACAAGCACGTCACCATCGCCGAGCTTCGTGACATACTCAGAAGAGCAGCTGCTTTGCTGTGCAGAGTCAAGACAGACCAGTCACCCATTGTTCATCATCTTGTCGGTATTCCCTTTGCAGTCTTCTCAAAGCAGTCTATCAAGCTCGGCATCTCGCTGTGGACCAGTGTGGCCAAGGAGAACCCACGCATGGAATCACGCATCTTGGTTGCCATTGCTGAAAATTGGGAGAACACGGTGCGCAAGCGAAGAGGTATCTTCAGTCCATTATTGAGGTACGTTTGATCCATCCTTGCCAAGAGTCTGAATGCTGCTTACTGTATATGAAGACACGAAGATCCTTTTTACGGCAAACAAGAATTCACTGCTACCGATAAAGAAGCTCTGTCCAAGCGTCAACAGCAGATTTACAACTTGATTGCTCCCCACTTCCGACTGCTGCAGTTTCTGTCTAGTCACTTCAGTGCGTCGCGCCTCAGCAAGTCGGATGTTGAACGCGTGTATGTGCGATTGATGCACATCACGCTTGATGCGATGAGTAGTGGCTGCTCGCAGCCTCTAGCTCGAGAAGCATATTTTCACATCATTTTGCTGGGTTTGCGCATTGCGCATCATTGCATCACCCTGTCCCCGACCATCAGGTGGCGATTGTTTGATCGCATTTTGACAGGTGCACTGGCTTGGTTTGCCAAAGCGCCACAGTAAGTTTTGATCAATGTTCCCTAAATGGTTTATATGCTGACTGGAGTAGATGGTCGTTTGGCGGAAATCGCCTGCAGATTAAGGCGGAGACTCATGTCTTGATGGATGTACAGGCACAGCTCGAAGCCGTTAGCAAGCTCACTGCTGCGGCTGACATTGGCGCAAAGTTGAAGGCTAAGCAGGACTTGCTGTCGCTGTTGATAGCTAACGAACACACAAGGCTGATGGTGTGGCTTTTTCCCTTGGATAACAAAAAACATAGGTTCAGTGGAGGATCGCATAGCAATGTTTTGCCGGATGTATGTATGCACAAGTGTATGAATGCATACAAGCTAACGACAACAGGCTGCCGTGACAGCTCACTTGAAGACGGCTTGGGCAGAGAATCCAGCTATTGCTGTCCATCTTATCAAGCGCTTCCAATCTCAACGTCTGAATATGGAGGTCCGTTGGCAGGTGCTGAACTTTCCGCACAAGGTGTTGGATGAGCCTGATGCGTTGGAGATTCTCCTGGGTAATCAGCTGCCTGCTGATGTGTCGTTCCAACTCAAGGTTTGCGTTCCGCTCTGAACTCGTCAATTCTTACTGACATTTCAAAGTACATGCTTTACTGGGCACCAGTGAACCCCATTACGGCGGTGACATACTTCCTACCAGCCTACGGGAATCATCCTTTCATTATCCAGTATGCCATGCGAGCGCTGGAGAGCCACTCGGTAGATGTCATGTTCTTCTACGTGTATCAGATTGTGCAGACGCTGCGCTACGATGTTCTCGGCTATGTTGAGAGATACATCATCGAAACGGCCAAGTTCTCGCAGTTGTTTGCGCATCAGATCATCTGGAACATGAAGGCGAATGCGTATAAGGATGAAACTGCGGAGACGGTAGGCTGCCTTTTGTCATTTTCGACAATGTGATAGGCTAACATGTATATCAGCCCGATGCTGTCAAGCCTACTCTCGACAAAGTCATGCTCAGCCTTGAATCCAGTTTCTCGAAAGAGGACCACGAATTCTACGAACGCGAATTTGCCTTCTTCAATGAAGTCACTGGCATCTCCGGAACCCTTCGTTCTGTCCTGCACGAATCGAAAGAAGTCAAGAAGCAAAAAATTGAGGAAGAACTCCGCAAAATCAAGGTGGAAGTCGGCGTTTACCTGCCCTCTAATCCAGACGGACAGGTCATCGGCATAGACAGAAAGTCTGGCAAACCGCTACAAAGTCACGCAAAAACACCCTTCATGGCTACGTTCCGCATCCGTAAGACTAAGCCAGACACGGGACTTGAGGAGACGGAGGAAGATGATCGACACGTGGTGAAGAGCGACAACACGTATGAGACGTGGCTCAGTGCGATTTTCAAAGTAGGAGATGACTGTCGCCAAGACGTCCTCGCCCTCCAACTCATCGCTGCCTTCCGCGGAATTTTCAACACAGTCGGCCTAGACGTCTGGGTCTTCCCCTACCGCGTCACGGCCACCGCACCCGGCTGCGGCGTCATCGACGTGCTGCCCAACTCCATTTCCCGCGATATGCTCGGTCGAGAAGCCGTCAACCGTCTGGACGAGTACTTTGTATCGCGCTACGGCAACGAAGATTCGATCCGTTACCAAGAAGCGCGCTCGAATTTTGTAAAGAGCATGGCGGCGTACAGCGTAATCTCCTATCTGCTACAATTCAAGGACCGCCACAACGGCAACATCATGATCGACGACGCTGGCCACATCATACACATCGACTTTGGCTTCTGCTTCGACATTGCGCCCGGCGGCATCAAATTCGAGCGCGCACCCTTCAAGCTGACGGCCGAGATGATTGCCGTAATGTCGGGCAGCAAGAACCCCTCGCCGTATACCACACAATCGTACCGCTGGTTCGAAGAGCTCACCATCAAGGCGTTCCTCGCCGCGCGCCAGCACTGCGATCACTTGTGCCATGTTGTGCAGGTGATGCTCGACAGTGGGCTGCCCTGCTTCAAACCCGAGACGATGCGGAATTTCAGGGACCGATTTGTGCTGGGGCGGAGTGAGGGGGAGGCAGCGGAGTGGATGCGCGGACTGGTGGAGAAGAGTAGGGGGAGCTATAGTACGGGAACGTATGATCGGTTCCAGTTGATTACAAATGGTATTCCTTATTAAGGTCGGGATGGGAAGGGGGGGGTGGTAGGGCAAAGAGGACGAGGATGGCGAAAGCAAAGCGCAGCAGTAAAAGCGAAACAGAAAAACTAGTCAAGTTGACTGGCTACACGAAATCGTGTCCAAGGATGCAAGTTTGCGAGATATCCTTTTCTTCTTCATTCCCCCTTGAAAATAACAGGTACATCTTCATCGTAATATTAATCACATACTTACCCTCGGTCCTCTTCTCTTCTATTCCTCCTGTCCAGCACACCTCCTTCCTCATCGATATCAAACCGGCTTATTCCAGTCAAGGTCGTTGGGTAGCGACTAGTTGGTTTACTTGTTCCGCTATATATAACGTGGCAGTGTGCGTGCCAGGGATGTTGCTGAGTGTGTGTTGCTGTTTGTTTTGTGTGTTGTGCGTTTTGCATAGGGGAGAAGAGTGGGAGATGTTAGGCTTGGGGTTTAGCGTACAGGGGTTGTTGATGTTGCTGCGTCTAAGACAGTTGTGTGTGAGTTTGGGGAGGGGTTGTTGGTATTGTGATGAGACGGGGAGATCTCGAGGGGCAATGTCAACTGGTGGTAGATTATGTTTTTATCAGGGATCTACAGAGAGGTCTAGCTTGAACTTGCTACTCATGCTTCGCAGATTTACCTCTCACCCACACGACTCTCACACTACCTCCACCTAGGTAATAGCCTTACCCATGACCTCGCCCCTCTTCTTCCCCTTTTGCTGCGCAGCCTCATGCTTCCTCAAATCCTCTGGCACCTTGCTGATCTGGCTCTTCATCAGCATCTGCTTCAAATCATACAGCACATCCGCATCTTCATTGCCCCAGAATGTAATCGCCACTCCGCTCTTGCCCGCACGACCCGTACGTCCAATACGATGCGTGTAGCTCTCGATACTGGTCGCCATGTTGAAATTTACCACGAGCGAGACGTCCGTGATGTCGATACCACGGCCGGCAAGGTCGGTCGCGACGAGCACATCGGTGCGACCTTCTTTGAGGGAAGCGAGGGCTGCCTCACGCTGCTCTTGCGTCTTGGATCCGTGTAGGGTGACGGCGGAGAAGCCCATGTGTTTGATGTCGCGGGCAATGGCGTCGCAGTTTCGCTTGATATTGACGAAGACAATGATGGGGGGACGGAACTCTTCGCTGCTGAGAATCTCTTGGAGTCGCTTTTTGCGGCGCTCTTCGCCTTGGATGTGCTCGACGCGCTGTTCGACCGTCTCGACGGCCTCGCCTACGTTGCCAATCGTCACAATGGCGGGACGCCGAAGATATTTCCGTGCAATGCGTTCAACAGCCGTCGGCATGGTGGCCGTGTACATCATGGTCTGGCGGTAGAAACCACGCTTCATGGCATTGGCATCTTCGGCTAGCTCAGAGTCTGGCTTCTCGTTGTTAACGGGAAGTGCGTCGAGGATCTTGTTGACGGGCTCTTCGAAACCCATGTCAATCATGCGGTCCGCTTCGTCCATGATCACGTAGGTGCATTGACTGAGGACAAGAACTCGGCGCTCAATACAGTCTACAAGACGACCAGGGGTCGCGATGATGATTTCGGCTCCAGCTTGCATTTGAAAGGACTGCTCTTCGATGGAGTGGCCTCCGACGATGACGGCTGTGTTGAAGCCCAGCGGTGCAGCAAATTTGCGAGCTTCCACCTCGATTTGTTGCGCCAATTCACGCGTCGGTGCGAGGACAAGCGCGTAGGGGCCATCGTGACGATTCGCGGCGCTCAGCGGAGGTAATTGTGAGATGTAGACAAGCAAAGGCAGGATAAAGGCAGCTGTTTTACCGGAACCCGTGACGGCTACACCTATAAGATCGCGACATTGCAAGGCAATGGGTATAGCAGCGCGTTGAATAGCAGATGGCTCTGTGTACCCAACTTGCTCGACGATGCGCATAAGCTTGTCCGGTAAGCCAGACTCGCTCCAATTGCGCATGGGATTCGGTATGGCTCCACCCTTTGTTGCAATATTGAAGTCCTCTTTGAAGATGCGCCAGTCGCGTTCGCGCATATGTTCGAGCTTCTTCTCGCTCCAGTGCTTGTCCAACTGTGCTCGGCCCCCTTCCTCTTTCCGCCGCCTTTCCATTTCCAATATTTGCTCCGCCCGTATCCGTCCTGTTTCTGGGTCCCGTTCGATCATAGCTTCCAGGAATCGCTGTGTGCTGGCATCTTGTACCTCCTCGGTAAATCCTCCGAGTCTGCCGCGCCCAAAAAATCCTGCTTCCGACTTTTGCTGGTAGATGGGATCGTGGTCGTAGCTTGTGTCCTCTTCTTCGTTCCACTCAAAGTTGAACTTCTTTTCTGTCGTCCGCTTCCTCTTCTTCTTTGCCGAGAAGGTTGACTGGTTTAGCTCCGGGCCCATGTATCTGTTCCGTATCATCAGTGCCTCGGTGTCCTCTGACGCTGGCCGCTTGCCCGTTTTCTTATCGGGCACTGGAGGCGGTGCCATGTCTCCTCCATTCCGTCGGTCTTGTCGCGTGGATGACGGTCCTGACGGCGGGTCTGGGCGCATAGACCGAGGCCCTGTAGGTATTGACGATGCGCCATTACTTGCGCCGTTGGAGCGGGAGTAATCATTTTGTGATGACCCGTTGCTAAGACCATTCGACGCCTCACGCCTCTTCTGCAATTCCTCCACCTCCTTTTGTCGCTTCTCCAACGCCAATCTTTCACGCTCTGCTTTGGACATGAACTTGGGTTTCGCGGCCGCAACTTCCTGTTCACGCTTCGCCTTGAGTATATCGTCTATGCTCGGTGGTTGCTTCTTTTGTGAGCCCCATCCCTTCTTCTGTTTCTTCTGCACAAGCGCTGGACCTAGCGCATCTTCTTCTGGTGGAGGAGGCGGAGGTGGGGGCAGATCTGATGGAGGAGGCGGTATAGCATCCTGCGGAGGCGGCGGCGGCGGTGGTGGTATGCTTTCCATCATATTCCCTATAAGTATCGAAAAGCTTCGTATTTCTCTAACAGCAGTCTGGGTAAGCCTCAAGAAAACGTCGCGCAGGGGTTTTGAGCTTTGTCGTGTAAATAAATCTTGAGGTAGTGAGTAGGAAATGCGCGCGACGAGCGACGACAGTTAAGTTAGCTTGCGGCCAACACTAGGGGAGGCAACACCTGCTCACGTGAAAGACGGGTAGGGTGGGTCCCAAACTTTACTTTCAAGAGAACATCATGTTTACGCTGGATAAGATCATACATGGGCAGGTTCATTAGGCTTGCTACTGATTCTCCCAAGATGATATTGTTTCCTGGTAAATACTGGACGAGTGGGGTGGGGTGGCTCGCTCGTGAAGAGTAGGTCATGGTAGATGCTTGAATTTGTATTCTCACTATCTGGCTCTTGAGCCTCACAGTCACTTCAACAAGCTCTCGTAACCGCTGTCCGTGCCATCCATATGCGATCCCCTGGTCATATCATCATGTCGGAGCCTCAAGCATGCCCCGCACCTGGCCTTGCTACCCCGTTATATTCATGTTCATCAAGCGCCACCGCATGCCATCAGCCACTTCAATCCTGCCTTCCTTTGAGTAACCGCTTGGTGACCTTGTCCTTCTCAATAATGTAAACGTGTGCTCCCCAGCCAGATAGTGCGTCTCGGTCGACAGCGTTGAGCAGCGCTTGTGAGATGGTCTCGAAGAGGTCTTCTGGGCCCTAATTCCATTATTAGCAACTAGCCATATTTCCAATTTCAATTTAGCATATAGCATACCAAATCTGGCTCCCACAGTCCTTCACAAGTACCAAATAGCTGGTCGCTCGCCGTCCCGCTGACAATAAAGTCTTTTGCGAAGTCAATGCACCCAATACTATCGAACCCGCAAATGAACGGCTTTCCACTAGTCTGGTTGATGCCCGCAATCACCGGGCTGATAAAGTATGGGCCGAAGCGCTTCTCATACAGCGATGAAGACACGAGGTTTGCCATGGTCTGCGGGCTGATGTTGCGCTCCTCGCGGAGGCGGTACATGTTGACTTTGTAGCGGAAGAGATCGGACACGGTGGCTACATCGGTGGCCAGGCCCGTCAAGCCCAGAAAGACGTCGCCGTATTGGAAAACTTTGGGGAAGTTGTTGGAGACGGTGAGGGC